TATTGAATATAATCATCTACATGGGTGTATGTCAATTGCAGATGTCGGGTCAGTATAAAGATCCGAAAATTAATACTAGACGATATTAGCTAAACAAACAGGATATTAAGTGGGTCCAAGTACTATTTTAAAATATTTTACAGTCAGTTTTCGGTGCTTAGTGTCAATGCAGCAACCCCTAGAGGCTCACATGGGAAGAATACTGCCAAGTAAATTTCAAAAAGAAAATCAGCAAGCTTGCCCTGCAAGCTTATGACAAACCTTCCTCCACAAGCTAATGCAAAAACATTCACAAAGCCACTTCATGCTCAATATAAATCTGCCAACATGTGAAAATCTCATTTCACACCTCATTCAAGCTCTGCACATTTTCTAGTAAGCTGTCATCTCTGTTTAAACTATTATGTCGTTGTTTTCCTCCATTTTTAGCTGCTTAATCCCTTGTTCGTCCCGAGCTGCCATCGACGATGAATCCAAGCCCGTCAAAATTCCATCGGAGAAGCATCGAAGCAAATCGGTGTCGTCGGGTGCTCCGATTCCGGTTTCTTACTTTCCCATCAACTCAAATCTCTCTCGTTTGTGAAGTTGCAGCCCATTGATTTAGGAACGCCAATTACTTCGTTGATCTATTAATTCCTGTTGGATTTGTAAGTGCAAGAAGTCCAAATAGTGATTTCTATGTGGGAGGCTTAGCCAAATTGAGGCCCAGAGGGCCATGGGCCTTATGTCCTAAATATTATATTTTCCTTTTTTTTTTAATGAAGTAATTTCGTATTTTCTAGAATTGAATGTTGAGTAATACTTGTGATGTGTGTAAACTGGCTTCCTACGGCATTTACATTATATATCTAGAGATAAGATAAATTCATACAACTCCGAATAGTTTAAATGATAGCAGAGATGAATAATAAATTCAGACATCTTGAGTTTAAATCTTAGTAATTTTTTGTGAGTAGGGATTTATACCCTAGTTTTGGCATGAATAGTTTGCATTTAACTAGACTGGAGAGGAAATTTATCTCTCAGTGTAAATTGATTTGGATATCCATGACCATTGAACAAAAAAAAAAAAACTAAATTCATACATAAAAGGATTAAAAAAAACCTTCTGGTTCGGTCCCAATTTGACCATGCTCTAAGTTCAGTATACTCGACTTCCTTTGCATGTAGACTTGAGAACAAGGTTAATAATCAAACCGAACCATTCGTATTCGGCTTGGATTTAATTCATTTTGAACTCAATTTTTTAAAAAACGAACCAAATTTAAATAATTTTTTAGGCTCGTTAAGAAGGTTGAGCTTGAACTTACAAAACTTGACTCATTTATATATAAAATAGTCAAATTATTCGAGTTCGACTCGTTTTTTAATCGATCTGAACTTAAATAATTTTTTAAGATCGTTTAAAAAATCAAAATCAATAATCTCAATTCGAACTCATAAAATTTGGTTTGGTCTAATGGTACTCCTTATCATCTTGTAAAAGTTTTGTATTCTTGAAATCAAGGTTCAAGCCCCTTTCCCTTCTCCCAAAAAAAAAAAAAAATTGAGAATACCATACTTTTAGCTTGTTCATTGAATTTAATACACCAAATTGAAGTTTAAAGAGGCTTATCTTATCCACAGTTTGACCATTAGCCCAATGGCCTAACGGACCGTGGCCCAATCCAATTTTCGGACAAGTTTTTGTTCTACCAACAACCTTTTCGGCTTGTGGCCATTCTTTGGGCTGTTGGCTCTTGACTGGTTGATCTATATATATATATGGGTTAATCTCATTTTCTACTCCGAAAAATTATTCGAATCTCAATTTACACCCTCAAAGATAGAAATTTGTATCAATGTGCACCTAAAATTAAATTAATAAATTATACCTAAATCCCTTCATATTTGTTAGTTAATCATTTAGACCTCTTCACATTTAGAATATTACTTCTACATCTTATGACATTTGTGCACGTATAACACGTAACCTATTTTCATTAATATCTATTAATATAACCGTTAAAAAATATAATTTTATCCTAATAAAAAATTATAATTTCATATTACCCTTTATTTTATAGGTTCAATATACTATAAAGTTCAAAATCTAGTTTACCATTTGAATATCTAATAAAATATAAATATTTATATAATATTTTTCATATTACCTTTTATATAAATATCTATAATTTATTAGACATTCAAATGGTAAGCTTGATTTTCAACTTTAGAGTATATCGAATCNGTGTAAATTGAGATTTTTTATCTTTGAGGGTGCAAATTGAAATTCGAACAATCTTTCGGGGTGCAAAATGAGATTAACCCTATATATATATATATTACTTTTAAATATTAGTATCTTTGAAAAATTTTTAATTTTCTATTTTATCTGTTATTATTATTATAAAATCAATGATACTTACATATTGCTTTCTTCTAATTTTTATTTCCTATATCTATTTGATTTTTAAGTTATATGGGATTCTTTTATTAATGGTATTTGACTTCTAAATTCTTTATTACTTGACTTCTAAGTTTTTTTAGACTCTTTTATTAATAGTATTTGATTTCTAAATTTTTTAGACTTATTTATTAGTAGTACACTTACGTATGATTTGTTATATCTATATCTCTATTTATACGAAAAAATAAAGTCTAATTTATATTTTATTACTATAGAATGTAGTTTTCAGATTGAATTTTACAATCCAAAAAATATCATATTATTATAATACAAACAATAATATTAGAATTTATTCAATTTCTTTCACAAAAAATGTTAACTATAATATAATTAAATGTGAAAATACTTAATAATAACAAGTTGACAATGAAGTTTAATTATAAACAAAAAAAATGTTTAATAGGTTGGAGAGATACCTAGGCAAACGAAAAATTAAATACTCAAAAAGGGATAAAATATATTAATAATTAGGTTTGACAATAATTAAAATAAAAAAAATTGTTCTACACATAATCTATTATTCAATTTAATTACATATTTAATTTGAATTTTTTATAAAAAAAAATTTATACGAAATTAGTGGGTTAACACGTGCATTGCTAGTCTTAAAAAAAAAATAGTCTATTAACATGACCCGAAATTGATATATATGAAATTAATGAGTTTAAATCTAAAGATTGCATCATCCACCGTGGTGTCATCTTTTTCCAAGTTTTGTTAGTGCAAGGTGTAGTCAAAAGCAACAATCATCTCATAGGAAACTAGTGGGAGCCATCCCTTAGTCAAAAGAAAAAGGGTAACGTGGTCCATACACAAATTCAGTCTTTCCTTGCTCTCCAACCAAATTGACCTACTGCCACCTATAAATCACCCATTAGAAATAATCACCCACAAACATCTTTGATCAGTCAAAAGAAAATATTCACCATAGCTTCTTCACCAACTTATATCTAAGCAATGGGTTTCCTCTCTGCCCTTTTCAGTTGCTTCATTCCATCGTCTTCGTTTCAAATACGTGATGCTAGCATGCACAATCTGAAGGCGTCCGCTCCTTCGTCGGAGAAGCCTAAAAGCAAACGGAAGTCGGGTGGAGCCCCAATTCCAGTTTCTCACTTTCCTGTTAACTCTCATCTCTCGCGCCTTTAGTCGAACAGTTCAAGTGCAGTAAGTGATTGATAAAATTAGATCATGGACGTAATACACACGGTTCTCATCAGTTCATGGTGGGAGTCCTGTCGTGGGTCTAGACTGGAGGGTGAAGCAACTTGTGCAACACTGCTTTTTATCGGATTCAAAAGGGATTTATTTACATATACTGGGTCTTATGTGAATTGATAGTAGGTGATTTACTAATGTTTTATTTGGTAGGAAGGATGAAAATTAAAAATCATGAGAAATAGGAGGGATACATTTTCTATTTTTCAATAAAAGAAAGTAGGAATGATACACTTTTATTCCTTTGTGTTTGATTCGATGGATGAAAAATAAAAATGATTATTTTTTTTTTGAGTGCTAGTTAAGATTATGAGTGACAATCGAGTCATATCGTGTTGAGTCATTACAGATTTGTGTCGAACATTAGTCACACTTAATTATGTCGTGTCGAGTTACGAGTTGACCTGTTTATTTTTGTGTCGTATTCGTGTTTGAGTTAATCAAGTTCGTGTCGAGTTTGAGTCGTGTCATCATATTAGTTAAAAATTTTCACCCCTAATTAAGATGAGAATAATATTTTTAATTTTTAATTTTATTATTTTTAATTTTTTTAAAATATATATATAAATACATATTATATTATTGTATTTTTATATGAAATTAATGTATACATAATATATGTATATATAAAAAGATATATAAACAAATAAAATACATATCAATACATATAATTAACTTTTCATTTACTCTTTTTCTGATTTTAGAGGGATTGATTTTGGTAAGTTAGAAAGAAAGTTAATTTATTCACTTTTTCATCCTTCCTATTTTCCTTTCTTACAAAACATGATGTTTTATTTATCAATGTTATCAAAACCGGACCGATCATCAAATTGGCTAGGAGACTGGGATAATGGTTCACTAGTTCAACCGGTGGTGGGTCACTGGTCGGATCGGTCATATAATAAAAAAATAAAAAATATATATAATAATTATAAAACATAATAATTCAGTTAAAAAATATAAAATATCTCTAAAATGCATACAATTTGTCATAAAATTAATGCATACACTTTGCATAAAATCCACAATGACAACAAATATCCTAATCCACAATTCTACAATCTCAATTCACAATCGTAATAGATCACAAATAGACAATAAAATTACAGTAACATCAATAATAGATAATTTCAATTTCCCAATGGAACTAAGCAAATCTTAAAAAAATACATTAATTTTGTGATGCTCAAAATCACCCAACAATGTGCAACAAAATCACCCAACAATGTGCAGAATTAAACACCAAATAATTAAAATTTTTTATCCATCGAATCACAGAAAAGTTCGCCTGAGTTTTTACCCATCAATTCATCGAATCACAACAAAAATTTTTACCTTAAAGGGAGGAGATGAGTTTGCTGGTGCGCACTTCCCTGGGTTCGCACTTCCCTGGACTTTGGTCGCTAATCGCTGGACCCTGATCGTTGGGTTCAAAGATCCCTGGCTGGACCCTGGTTGCTGATCGCTGGGTTCGAAGATCCCTCCCTGCTCCCTGGTCGCTAATCGCAGTGGTTGATGCCGCTGATCGGAGTTGAAATCGCTTGAGGTTGATGCCATGATGTTGTTGGAGCCCGGTGTTGGTGGTGTGGTGCCTTATGTTCTACGATTTAGGACAAAAAAAGCTCCAGATCCTATATAAATTTTAATTTAATTTATTTATGTAATTTAATTTGTAAATAGGTATTAAACCGTCCGGTTTTATAGAACCCGCCGGTTCACAATTTATAAAAAAATCGGCCGATTTTTCGGTTTATAGTCGGTTCTCTACCTTAAGCGGTCCAATTAGAGAATCAGATCGGTCAAGGTCCCGGTTCGAGGTTGAACCGGTCTGGTTCTGATAACACTGTTATTTATCTCTCAAACTTTTCATCCTTCTAACTTTTCATCATTCCATTTTTTCATCATACCAAACGGAGCATTAAAGAGCCCGACTAATGTTTATTTAAAGGCCAAATAGGTCGTAAAACACAGTCACTTTAAAGTATTTTTTAGTCTAGGTCAATGGACCAAACTTCTTCAACCTAAGTCAATCCACCATATTTTTAAACCGAAGTCCAATATACATGTTAAATATTTCTTGTACATTATAGGTGCAAGTGCAACTCAGGTGAGATGAGCAGATTGAGAAGTCAATCCTAATTCAATCTTAGTTTTATAATATTCAACTCTAACCCTAATCTAACCTCACCTTAATTCGAAGTACTCAATCCAAGTACTGTCCAAGTTGAATTTGGGCAGACTTGATTGAATTTGGTTATTTAATTCAGGCTGATTTCGTGTTACAAATCGGATTGGGTTCATTCAAATCCAAAATCAGCCTATTTTTTAAACCATTACATCCAACACACCACAAGAAAACATAACCACCACACAACCGCTACCACAGCCATTACCGCAACAACACACCAAACAAAATCTAAGAGATCTAAGACTGAGAGGTGCAGATCTGATGAAAGTCTTCGCTGAGAGGTGCAAATCTAAGAGATCAAGAGTGAAAGTCTGAGTGAGGTGCAGATAAAGGTCTTCGCTTTTTAGTCTATCATTGATGGTGATTGAATGTCTGAGAAAGGGAGACGAAAGGGAGGCGTCTAAGAAAAAGAAGGCGGAGAGAGGGAGGCATTTGAGAGAGAGGGAGGTTGAGAGAACGAGAGGGAGCCAGTCAACAACAGAGAGGTAGAGGTGGAGGTGCCGACCTATTTTTTCAGGTTGAATTCAGGTTAGCCCGCCCAAATTATACTCTTATTATACATTGAGCTTTTGGCACAACTAATTTTATTTAAAGACCCAATGGTTTTAAGACGAGGCAGGACCTAGAAAAACCTAATTAAAATTGATTTGACAAAAACATATACAACATATACTTCTATTTTGTTCAATGGATAAAGTTTTTAACCCTCTTAACGGCCAAAACCACACCATGGAAATGAAAGAGCTCTCCAATGCCGTAGCATATATATTGTAAAGGTTTGTCAAGGTAATCTGTGACTAAGTTTTATATTTGACCCATTTTTTAGCAATTCAATTCAAACATAACTGTTTGAATTGATGAGATCAGGTTTGGGTGCTAGAATAATATTCTGTTATTAAAATCAATGATTGGAATGCTCTATTTACCCCTAGAATTAATAGAACTGGTACATGATTGCCAGTAACAGAACACAGTTGGCCTTTAACTTGATTTTGACAATCAACAAATAGTTTGGCCATTACATTTATTGTTTGACCAAGTGATAAAATATCATTATTTTGAAATTTTGGTAATTCAAATCCGATTGAAACTCATGGGTAGTCCACATAAAGATAATTCAAAATCTTACATGATGAATTTTTTTGTTTATGATTTTATAATCATATTATTATGTGAAATGGAGATCATATGCCTAGGTTGACAATTACACAAAACCTTAATATCATAACTCTTGAGTACTTAAATATTCATATACATAGAGCTTGTTTGGTTGTTGTATTGTAAAAGAATGGATTGTATTAGGTAATACAAGCTAATTCCATATAAGTGGATAAAACACAAGATTAAATATGTGATAAAAATATTACTTATTATAATCCAGTATTTGGTAAGATACTGGGTTAAGAGTGGGATAATAAAATAACAATTACTTATTGACTAAAAAATTATAAATCTTATCTAGTTATTAATGTTGAAGTTTATCTGTTGGGTAAAATAGTAAATTTATAACTTAATACCCTTGAATTAGACTGTAATACCACCTTTTTAGGTGGTATTATAGTAGGCTCAATAGTATGGATAGAGTGTATTATTTTAATAAGTATTTGAAATAATACTATATATAATACATAGTATTTTTTGTAACCAAATGTAATATAAGATTGGATTAGAGAGTCTTAATCTACTATGACTCTGTAATCTACCATTTAATACTGCAATCAAATGACCTTATAATGTACGTAAATGCATTCAAAATTTAATTAGCTTCACTAAATTTTGATCCCAGCATGTCATCCCACACTGAAGCTAGACATTCAAAATTTTGATCCACCCCATAATGACATTATAAGCCGAAGTGCAGTATAACACAAGAAAGTTCATCATGATGGTGGTTTGATGAGGGGCTAGTCCAACTATGATTGGGGTGACTATGGCTTTTAGCGGATAAGCGTTCTCCCCTGAGAATCCTATCAGAGGAGTAGTTGTATGCACCAATTTTTTCTTGACTATGCTTAGCTTTTCCAAGATATGGTCAAATATGATGTCTGCCGAGCTCTCACTATCTATAAAGACCCTTCTCACCGAATAGTTGGCAATAGTTAGGGTTACCACCAGTGGATTATCATGTGGGTGCTGAATTCCACCAACGTTTTCATTAGAGAATGTGATTGACGAGCTTACACGAGGCTTCTTTCCTGGATTTACTAAGTTGAGTTCTTGCTCATATTTTACTTCACGAGCATGAGTTTGCATTGTAGAGCTACTCTCCCCGCCTCAGGAGATCACTCTGACCTCCGATGGGTTATTGGTGTCGAGCTTTATCTCAGTTGGGTTGTACCTCTGCATTTTCCTAACATCTATGCTCTATGCATATCCTAAGATGTCCCTTCTAGATAAGATCCTTTATTTGGTCCTTGAGGACTTTGGCAGTCCTTAGTGTTGTGGTCACGGTCCCTGTGGAACTTATCCTTGTAGAACTTATAGTATTTGTCTCTAGACTTCTTTTTAGGGTGAGTTTGCCTCTTTCCTAGCCATTTAAAGACCCTTTCATCCTGAATATGAAAGAGAATCTGCTTGACCAGGGTGTTCAATAGTGTGTACCTACGAGCCTGCTCATTTACTTGGGGCCCAAGCGAACTCTTGCACTTACATGTTCGGTTCAATTCTTCTTTGGACTATTTGCCCTTTCCCCCTTGCCTGATTGATCACGATTTTTCTCTCCTCGTATCTATCCTCTTGAGTCCTCCGAGCGAGAAGAGTATCTTCAACATTCACGTGGCTTTAGGCTCTTGATAGGAGCTCAGTCATACTCTGGGTGGATGATTGGAAAGGAAGAAAAAGAATTTGTTTGAAGACTTCCCATAAAAGTGATAAGGGCTACTTTATCATCCATATTGTCGATTTGAAGTGACTATGTAGTGCATCTACTGACAAAGCTTCTAAGTGTCTCATTCTTAATATGCTTTATGTTCAAGAGGTAAGTGGGAGGTCTCTTGTGTGCGTAGCCCCCAATAAAGTGCAAGATGAAGGATGTGCTAAGCTCTCCAAATGAGCTGATAGAACTGAGTTTTAGCTTATTGAACCATTGCCTTGCAACTCTTTTAAAGGTCGTTGCAAAGGCCTTGCACATAATTTGATTTTGAACAATATGGAGCATCATTAAAGACCTGTAAGTCTCTAGGTGATCAAGTGGATCTTGTATCCCAAAGCTCTCGATCATTGGCATCCTGAACCTCTTTGGGAGAGGATAATTTGACACATCCTAGGTGAAATCCTTTCACTAAAAGGCGATTGACACCTTTCACTGAAAAGTGACTCCATGTGTTGTACCAGAGTTTTTACGGCCTTTAGGACTCAATCCTTTACGATGTTTAAGACATTACCTAGTTTCTCATTAAAATCTTGGAACTTTCTTTCCCATTGGTCATTGATCTGTGGTCGAATTATCTCAATTAGGCTCTGTTCTTCATTTTCATACTTGTTGTCTCCATGTTCCCGGATCTGGGATAGGTCCTTCTCTAGGTGTTGCTGTTTGGTAAGAATTTGAAGAATTTGTTGGTTCTAGTGAATCAATTCTTCCACTACTCTCTCTAGTTTTTTAACTCTCAATGTTTCCTTTTCTGGAGGTGTTGTATTCCTTTGGTCCACTTAATGCGATTTTGGGCGTTCATTATCATGGGTTGGATCCCTAACATGATCCTTTGACTGTAATGACCACAACACCTAAAGTTTTGTGAATAGATTTTGGAATCAAAAAAATCTCAATTCTTATAGACGACATCAACTGATGATGGTGGAAAGTGTTCACCAAGTTTCAAACATCTCGATCAGTTAGATTTGTGCCCTAATTGCCTCGTATAAAGACAAGTTGAAGACTGGAGGGGCTCTGGGGGTTGACCCTTCGATGGCTAAGTTAGAGAGAGAGAGAGAAAAAAAAATTTGAAGTGACTCAGAAAGCTAGTACTGGTGTTATATTCACTTACTTGGCTCATCTTCATGGACTCCCCTCTTATAGGTCTTTTAGTTAGGTCATTTGTGGATCCTCATCCATCTATTTGAATTGAGGTAGTCGACCCTTATATATTTTGGCCAAGTATTACTGGCTAAGTGGAGGTAGTAGTTGAGTTGAACTAGTCAAAGTTCTTATAGGTCTAGACTTAGTCGAGCTTGAGGATTGGGGAGCTGGCGAGTTGAAGCTAATTCGAGTTGTGGAGCTCGGCAATCCAAGCACGTGCCTTTTTTCTAGTTATCAACATCCCCTATCAGTTGGGTCCTTGAGATTCAAAATATGGTACACATGGAAAAGATCAATCATGTGCGAGTCGCTGAGAGGTATGCTAAGTAGATAGCTTGTATGCGCTTTAGAGAGGCAGAGATGATTGTAGTTTCCATGTTGCCTGCTACATAGGTTT